TAGACAACCCACTAGTGGCGAAAATTTTTCTTAGAGATAATTTTGGATGGAGTAGGTGTTACTAAAATGGTCAATACGCTGAATCCAATTTACTATTTTCATAATTTGTTAGAACCATAAACGTTTGGTTGGACTGCAGGTCTTGAACCACGGACTCATGCCATCAACTCGCAGATATTAACGAAGCAAAAATTCACCTTCAAATTGCATTCACTTGCAATTTATATGGCAAAAGAACAACTCAAGCCATCAGCCCCCATCGTTACACCGATGGCATGTCTTTGTCTAGGTATTAGTTTTATGAATTTATTGTGTCTCTTATGTATAGAATGTCTATGTTTATGCGTATATTAGTGATAATTTGGTTATTTTAATGGATAATTATGTATTATCATCCTATGGATGCAATATATTGCATAAGCTGGTGGATAATTTGTATTTTTCATGAATTTTTACGGGAATCCAAGGTTTAATCTGAATGGTGGTGATATTGGCTCCAAGTTTATCGACATGAATGATAACTAAGTGAAACAACAGTGCAAAAAATTCTTAGTGCATTTATACATTTGCTGCCCGCACCAACAATATTATTTATTATTATGGTTGTGAATAGAGTTGTACTATTTATAATTGCGATAGTTCAAAAAATTATTGAATTATGCTCATAGTAGCAAATTTGATGCAGACATCAATCCATTTGTATAAACAAGTTTATTAGAACTCCATGGTTATGATGTCTATGGTTTTGTGAATTGTCGCTGATGAATAATTGATTGTAGTGCATCCCCAAAACTGATTTTACAGGTTTTGACACTAATGTTCAACTAATAACTTTATTGTGTCTGTTTCTTGAAAAAAAAAAAGAATTATCATAGGGATTGGTGTAATACTCTTCAACATGCGTCGAGTTGACCATGGTTACTCTTTTTAAAAACTTGCAGCGAGTTAACTACAATTTGCTATTTTTTTCTATAGAAAGACAGTTCAGTTACAATGGTTGTGTTTGATATTGTTGCTCTTTTCGTTTGAGTTTGTTATTATGTGTTAAGTCTCCCTCTTTCTCTTGCCCTCTCTCTCACACACAGTTGCGGTACTTGATAAGGGGCAATGTTTAACCAATTCGCATTTTACATAGGGGTGTGTTCGTTTATGCGCGTGGTTGTATATTGGGGTTGTCGGGTGTCATTATTGTGCAGTGCACTTTTTTTTTTGAACCAATTTGTGCAGTGCACTCAAAGTAACATTTTTATTTGTTATTTTTGTTTTATTGTTTCCATCATCATAAACAAATCATGTGGTCTGTGTTGTGGATGTTACGATTGTAAGTGACAATTGGTGTTTGTGTGCATGCACACCTAGACTTGATGTGAATTTAAGGGTGATTTTTTTTTTTTTTAATTTAATAGAAGTTCAATGAGGGATTAGATTTGTTATTTTATTGATTGACTAGTTATTTTCCGTATCTGAAGATACGAAGTAATAAAAAAAAGGTCAATAATAAACATATTTATATTTACACCCAAAATTAAATTACAAACATAGAAGATAGAGAAATGAATATAAACACCGGTTGTAGTTGAGTGTAGTTAGAGCGAGCGATGGTAGTGATGGTGGACGGCAGTGGTGGTGGTGACGATGGTGGTGATGGTTGTTGTAAAAGAGGTGGTGGTGGGGGTGGGGCGATGGTGGTGATAGGGTGACGGTAATGGTGATGACAGTAGTGGTGGGGCGATAGGAATGGTGTCAGTGGTGTTGGTGTCACTACAAGAATAAGTGTTTTTTGCGACAAATTTTTTACGGTGACTGTGTTGGCCGTCACAAAAGACGTACTTAAGACAATTTTTTGTGGCGGCTGTGTTTGCCGTCACAAAAAGTGTGTTTGTGTTAATATTTGTGGCAGCTATTTTTTCTCTCGTAAATAATGTCATAAATTCAAAGAAGTTTTTGTATTTGAGACAACTATTTTTCCTGCCTAAAATAATATTTTATAAATTCAAAAGAATTTTTAAATTTATGGTAGATATTTTTCCCGTCATAGATTATATTTTATAAAATATTAAAATGTTGTTTTAGATTGAAAAACAGTTTATAATTTAAAGAAAAAAAAACTATAAAAAAAGTTTATGTCAGCCACAACTATTTTTAATGTTACAAGTAATGTTTTATAAAATTACGTAGTTTAACATCAAAAGACAATTTCTAGTTCAAAGAAAAAAAATTAAACTCAACAAAGTCAATCAAGTTTTTATATCAAAACTAGGGGTATCAAAATATGACACGACCCGTTAACACGACATAAAATTAGTGAGTTTGAGTATTTCTTAAATCACCTGTTTAGTAAATAAGTTGACCTGTCATGATACGATTATAAATGAATCAAGTATTGGTGAAACCAATTAGAATAAATGTATACGATATGACTCATTTATATACCATTTACATAATTGGATAAGTCGTTCAGAGAAATGTTGTGTGGCCCTCTATGTTGATATATATTCTAACTTCTTTTAATTCTTTATTGCATTCATCTATATAAATATTATTTCAGTATAGTAATAATAATTTTATATTTTTTCATATGTCACTGAGAGAGTAGATGGTTCGTGAATGATGTTCAACTTTTTGCATTAATTTCTTGTACTCATAGATTGTTATGTTTTATAAAAGTGCATATTTTATATTTTGTTTAACTCGTGAGATTGTTTTTTCTTTGATATGAAAATATTATTATGGTTTTGGAAATGTTGATTATATTTATTTTTGTATTTATCTATATATTAAATTGGGCAGTTGTACGAATACCAATGAGTCTTTGGTCTAATGGTACTCCTTACATTGTGAAAGTTTTGCCTCCTTGAGATCAATGGTTCAAGCCCTCTTCCCCCCTCCCTCTCCCAAAAAAAAAAAAAAAGTTGTACGGAGTGTATATATGCATGAGGTATATAACATTGGTTACTAATAATCCATAATAATTAAATTTTTTTTTTTGTGGCGGCATCGTTGCCATCATAAAATATATCTTCTATTTTTTACGACATCCAAATATGGTATTTGAGGCAGCACTTTGCTATAGTGATAAAAGCAAAAGTGTCGAATTTTTTGTGACAACTTATTTACGACAGCGTCTTGCTGTCGTAAATTCTATTTGAGACAGACTACTGTTGCCATAAAAATCTTTTGAAACCACTCTTATTATGGCGAGGTAATACCGCCATAATGCTGCCACAAAAAATATTTATAACAGCAAATAGGTCTTTTATAACAGTACTTTACCGTCGTAAAAACCTTTTTTTCTTGTAGTGCGTGGTGCCAGTGATGGTAGTTGTTGAAGCTAAGGTGATGGTGTCGTGGCGACAGTGGTAGTAGTGGTGGGACAGTGGGGCGGTGGTGGTGGTAGGGGTAGTTGTGGTGGTGGGGTGACAGTGGTGGAGCAGTTCCAAATACTATTTTTTTAAAAAAGTAATTATGAAAAGTTATAAATCTTAAAAAACTTTTAAAAAATTACCTCAAACACACCTTTATGAGCATATTTTTTCTATTAAATTTGGAGTGTTAATATTAGGCGTCAGATTAATTTTAAAGTAGAATTTAAAGAGATTTCAACTGTAAAAAATAAAAATCATTTTATTTATTTTTTGATATTTAAATTGTATTGTACTTTAAATAAGAGTTTGTATAACAGATTCTTTTATTCCACTGTCACTTAGTAATTTCTCTTGCTCTCTCCACCATACAGATAGACACGGTTCTCTTTTTCTTTACCACACGCAAAAATATACTAAGCTTCAGATCATGGTCTTTCATTTCTTGTATTTGCACTTACGTGCATAGGGATTGCCCAACGAATAGTATTGTTCTAGTCTAAGTTACGCTTGATGGTTCGAATTTTTTTATTATTGGGAAGATGAGATGCCTCCAATCCTGGTTGATCCAATATTGTAGCAATTGTCCTCGTGTAATGAGTTGCATCCCATAAAAATGATTAGAGAATATGCTTAAAATGGGAAAACTACTGTAAAAAAATTATTGTGATCCATATTGCATTAGGAAAGTTCTATATTTCTCTTTGTTTAGTATAATAAATAATCTCTTAAACTTAGCTATACAATTGAACATTGAGCATTCAACTTTGAACCGAAAATTTAAGTGTAAAAAATTTTCAATAATAATTTTCAATGTACATTCAAGTTAAATACTTATCATTTGTCATTTTTTTTTATATCAAGTTTTCACTTAATTTGGACAATTGAAAAGATTACATGATATTCGATTCACTCAGAAAAATTATATGTGCAAGTAATTTGCATGCAATGCACGTGTGCACTACGACCTAGGTATTCCAAAATGTGATTATCAGCCTAGCTGAATTGGGTTGACTCGCAGACAGCCAACAACACAGCAACACTCCTCTATGACTAATCTTTAGCGAGTAATTTTATTTGGATTTAAAAATTTGATTTCATTTGTGGACTTGATTCATTATGACATTTGGATTGATTGTAGGCCCCCATCAAATATTAGAATTTACTCTTCATCCAATGATTCGAAGAAAATCACATCATCTGATCAACAAATGAGGTCAAATTTTTTGATCTAAATTGCATTACTCATCTTTAGCATGTGAAGGCACCAGCATATATTCCATCTTCCCAAGGAAGTGATAAAAAGAAAGAAAAGGGTGAAAAAGAAAGAGGGAAAAAAGTGTGCAGTGTGTAGAAGCTTTCCATAATCTTTACAGAAAGGAAAAGCAACATACTTTTCCTAAAGAGATCTGAAGTGGGCGTTGATAGAATGATAAACTTATTCTATTTTGACTTGAGAAAAATCATTTCACTCTGCATACATTTGATGTGATTTTTCTAAGACCTCACTTACATTCAAAAGCATACTTTAAAAGTTATACATGCTCATAATCCTAATAGCATGATCATCTACATTAAATGATGGAAATGTGCTCATCAAAGTTTATGAAAATTCGAACCTCTTTGTTCATTTGAGTGGCGGGTATAAAGGCAAATATAGGCAGAAGGCCAAGATTCATTATAATTTATAACATGGAAGCTAAGCCTTCAACTTCCTCTTCTTGTTCTTGTTTTCATTTTCTTCCTTCTCCTCCACATCCTCCGGCGAGAGAAAAATCAACATGCTGCAACAAAGTGATAGAGTTTGCCTGCAGTGCATGCTTGTTATGTGTTTGTTGCCCAATATCAGCCGTTTGGTGTTGTATGAAGCAACCCTGCAAGATTGGAAGGATCTTGGTGCAGCATGCAAGGCACAACGCTTGTTGTGGATTGGGAAAGAGGATTCACGCGGCATACACTTCGTTCTCGGACATTGATTCTGATGTCGATAAAGGTAAAGGACAGCCACACTCCAAGAGTTTGGGTTCTGTCAAGAACAGGATGACACAGAGAGAGCTGGATGACTTCAAATTTTAGAAATTCTGTAGATTTGAATGTAGCAACTGTCTTTGTTGGTTATGTTACAGAACTGCTACTCATATGCTATGGCAATTTAATAACTTGGCATATCTGATTGCACTTCATATTGGGATCACATGCCTAATAGATCGTTTTTGTCCAATGATATTAACCACAAGATGCATCTTTTGAACTTTTGGGACATTTTGCAACATCTCACACACAAAGCAGTGCTTCATGGGAAACGTTATGAAAATTTCATGTTATAAGTGACAGGTTTGTATGTTGATTGACAATATTTATTCAGTTAATGCCCTTCACTCTTTTGTGCTCAAGCTCCTTAACTACAGAAAATATTGTGTGTAACGATTACACCACGTCATCATGTTGACATAGTGTAACTGTCCAATAATAAGACAACATGTGGACAAATATTTTTTTTTCATTTTTACCCTTCAACACTTCAATTATGTCATGCTTATCCTCTAGATTTAATGCCACAAGTGATTTCCTTAATCAACCTTTTTCAATTAATTATACAATCTTTTATATCTTTTCATCTTCTTAAGTTAATTACTTATACAAATTTAATATTTTATTTTTTTTACTTACCAAAATAATATTTTATTACATTCATTTAAACTCTAATTATTGATTTAAAATTTTGATTTTCTATTTTTTTGATCAATTTTGACGTTAATCCAATATTATCTATAATCAATATAATCTGCAAATATTTTATGCTATGCTTTATATTCTTACATTAGAGTTCAGCCTTTTTTACCCGATACCGCATTAGTGGTTCGTGGAATTTAGTAATGGGGTTTTGAAATATGCATGTTGAAACAATTGGGTGCAAAAAACTGGTTCGAGATAAAGGTGGGCATTGAAACTTCTAATATTATTTGCTTGAGAGTACTCTTTGTCTTAATTTCCTTCTTTAATCTGCAACCCACAAAAATCCAATCAAAACATGAAGAAGAAAGCTACCTAAGAGAAATATATACACATGAATCCATAGATTGATCTACTTATAAGGGTGAGCTGGGGAGGATGGTGAGAAAAGAAGGGGGTTCGGGAAAACGATAGGGGTTATGGCGTGCATTATCAATATTATTGGTTAATTATCTAAATCTATAACATGGTGTGTAAATTTGAACCGTTCCTTTTCTTTTTTTTTTTTGTATGTGCAATCTTAGTTTGTTTTCACTACCTATCATTTTCTATAATGTTGGCTTATTCATTTGCTTGTAGTCCTGGTTATCAAAGCCATGGAATCACAAATACAAATCAAAATTAATCGCTCAATTACTCTATGTGAAATTATCAACGAGTTTTCTGACACATATATAAAGTAGAAATTTAAGTTGTGCATTCATAGTTTCATTGGATTTTAAGTTTAGCAACTGCATTGATATATTGAATTTGTGCAATGGACACCGTCGATTCAATGTATGAACTTAAAAATGTCTAAGTTATCTATACTAGGATTGACATTCAATCTTTAGAGGTGAATACAAGAAAAATAATTCAAGGAAATGTGAAAAAGAGTACAATTATATCATTAGTTTATTATCTCTCGAGGGCTATGTACCATGGAAGCTAACCAAGCAAGTCAAAGGACGGAAAAATATGGGACTTACTAATATTTGAAAATGTTATCCAGATACTAAGGTCCCTTTCAATTTTTGGGAGACTTGACATCAAATGCTTCTCTATTAATATATTTAACTTTTGTTTGATGGATTGGTATATAAGTATAGGCCTTCCAATTTCTCTTCTTGGAGTTGAATTTCAATCCAAGTGCACCGCCACCTTGATGAGGTATGTCATATTATTTGTATAATGATTTTGAACTAAATTGTATCCAGTGTTAGCATTGGATGTAGTCCTTCCCAAATAGAAATTTTTTATCATGCTAATTACGAAATTTCGTGGACCGTACAACACAATGATGGAAGTGCAATGGTTATATATGTGGATAGTTAGAAATTGATTGATATTGAACACGTCACAAAATTTCAAGTGAGCTCTTGTGGTGTCACTTTTTGTTGTACTAAGATGTTATCAAGTATATCAAACTTTTGCTAACAACAAAAAATTGGTCAAATCTGTTGTGACCAAAGTTATAGTAAAAAACCATTGCAACCACCTGCTGGAACTTGAGGAATAGAAGAATTCCAGTTGAGGATTACAAAGGGGATTAATCACAAATGATCAACTATCATTGAAAGACAGATTGGGGCCTAGCACAAGGTAGTGATACCCAATTCCGCATATGCTCTCCTCAATTTCTCTCTACAAAGTAATACCAGTAAGAAAACCTCTTCAATTCTCAAGGTAGTTTTGTTAAACTTCAAAATGATTTGTACTATGCGATATCAGGCTTGATTTTCAATTGGGTATCTTAAGTTGTCCCAAATAATCTATATAGTTATATCAATTCAATTTTTAAATATTGGTGGTTATGTTTTTGTACTTGATGTTTTTATATGTACAATGTATTGGGTTTGATATATCTCTATTTTACTTTATGACTCAAATTTTGTCTAAGTGAATTGAACTTTACGGTTTCAATCTAGGTGGTTGCGATTTTCTCAAAATTATTATGCTACTGGAAAATCTTTTGCATGTTGTTTTTAGGGGGCACATACACAAACAATTTTTACCATTAGTAAGCATTGATCCCCTTACCTTTTGGATGTGAGTAACAAGGGTGGTGAACTAATGCGTTTCTAGAAATAATACAGTTGTAACAATTGGCGGCTTGACTTAATTAATAAACTATTGACACTTTGATATCATATTATACCATGTTCAAGCAATAGAAAGAGTAAAAGTTTTTATGCTTAATGCAGTACTGTTGCTCACTATTACATGTAGATTTGCACAAGTTTATGCTTTGCTTGAGCACTTTAACTTTGGATGTAATTGAGGCCATTGCGTTTGGCCCCAAATCTTTAATTTCAAATTTTAATATTCATTTAGTTTGCGGTAAAGGTTCTAGATACTTTATTGATATTCTAATTGCTATTCTTTATTATGTTTCAGTGATTGTATTTATAGTTGAATATGTTGTGTTCTTCTATCTTTTGATGATATTGTAGACTTTGGTCTTACACAGAAACATACCATGAAACATACATCTAGCGAATATAGGACATTACAAATTACTACAAAAAATGAGGAAGGTAGGAGGGGGACGAGATGAATTGTTTCCCAATTATCGCTAATATTGCAATTGCATACATCTTGGAATGTTCCAAACTCCTTGATAATAAATACATGTTTAATAATTTTTTCAATAAAAGCCTACTCTATTTTATACTTGTGGCTCATGTGCAACGCACATGTATGCCAACTGGTAATTAAATAAGTACCCATCTATGTCATGCAGTAACTACCTCATAGGATTCACTTGTCAACATGTTATCTTATTATTGAACGGTTATATCATGTCAGTATGATAACGTGGTGTAACCGTTACACCAATATTTTCTCAAGCAGACGATATGTTATGTGCTTATAATATATAAGCTATTACCTGCAGATTTTATGACTTACTTTCTTTCACCTTAAATTCAAAATCATTACTACCATAACATCTATGAAACAATTATATTATTTATAATTAATTGAAGAACCTAATTTGTTGTGATCTTTGGATTGATAAGAAACTTATTTAATACCCAGATATCTTAATCCAATAGCAACAATATATGGTATACTCAGATTAAATCTACAAATTATATATAGCTTAGAAAGTTTCAGTTTGGGGGAAAAAAGAATGTCTTATGGTAGTGTTGATAGATTAGATTAAATTTACGTGGTCTCTACTAGGTACAAAGTGTTGAAATACATGTGTCTAACAAATGCTATGATTAGTGTTTAAATTCGGAATAAATAAAGCCTCAAGTGGTTGGTCAAATTGAATAATTCATGTCATGAATCTCATATATAACATGTATTTTTTCTAATAAATGTTATCTGCATGACATGTGATTGAATTTAAGGTAGGATTTGGATCTTTTCTAATAAGCATTGTTGTTGCCTTGACAAGACCTGCTCAAGAGCTTTTCATGATATCATTACTTTTATTCTGACACATAATAGCAAAAGTGTGGTGAATGACGATACAACTGGATACTTTGAAACATTAGACAGGGGCCAGGGGTGGGTGAAGTGTATTTGAGTCTTTAAACGATAACATATTAACATCAAATAATATATTTTTATTTTTAATATTAAAAATTTTTATTTAAAATTATTTTTTATCAAATTTTTTTGTGTTCTACTTGGTAGAAAATGAAAGGTCAGTATTTAACTTCTTTCTTTTTTTTGTTTTTTATCAGATATAGAAATAGGGGGCTTAATAGAGAGAGAGAGAGAGAAAGAGAGAATGTGTGGGGTAAATATTAGTTGACTTTTGAGTGAATAGTTTTTTGGACCTGTAGTTTTTTTTTTTTTTTTGAATTTTTTATTTCTGATTTTTGGGTTTCTAATGTTATGGGTTGGGTCTTAGGCTCAAATTATTAAAAGGGAAAATTGTAAGGACGCAAACGAAATTAGAGTTATTGTTCAAAAAATACATAACTCTTAATGTTAGGTCATTAACTCTATATTTTTATAACTTAATTATGTTCAAATATACAATTTGACTTTTTATAATTTTTTTTTTACATATTTGCACTCCCTTAAATCATGCATACTTCATATGGCAATTGATTTAATTTTTGATTTAATTTATTGTATTAAAGATTCCTAATATAATGAAAGAATTATATTATAACATATATTGTATCTAACATTGATTGTATATATCTTAACCATTTTGAATTTTAAATTTTTTTGTCATTATCCTTGTCATTAAACATATCTCTCTTGTCATTACTATATATATATATATATATACACACACACATACACAAATACACACACATATAATATTATGAAGTCACACTATGAAACCTAGCTTCTATTACTCTTACACTATTTTGATACACTTTAAATTTGTGTCATTCTTCAACCTTAATTTCTATTGCTCGTACACTGTTTTGATACGTTATATTTGATGAGTCCAAAAATTGACTGGGTCAAGCCCAATTAATATAAATCGAGAAAGTCCAATGGTTCACGCATCAAAAGTGGTCCAAATCATTGGAGCCTAAAGGGAGTTGAATAGTGAAAATGGAGTTATGGGTGTTGAAAAGTGAAAATAGAGTTGAATAGTGAAAATAGGTGTTGAATAGTGAGGATGGTGTTATGGGTGTTGAATAGTGAGAAAGGGAGTTAGACTTGTCCATAAATCCAGAAGGAATCAAATGGAAAGGAAGCATCCAAGAAGGCACCGCCCAAAGCATTAGAGGGCGTCGGCCAAGTCATACCCAAGGCACCGCCCAGTGCTGGCCCTCCTGGTTCCTCCTTCATTCCCTTTTCTTGGCCACTTCAACTCAAGTCCAACTCACTCCAATGTCAGCCCAGACCCAGGATTAAGCCTAATCCAACTCAAGATCATCCTCCGATGGAATAGGAACACGAGAGAAAGAATATCGGGATACATAGATCAAATCCTACTAAGATTGTACTTACCAGAATAGTGGAAGACCTCTCACTCACGTCACCGTCTTACCCCAACTATATAATGAACTCCCTTTCAATATTGAGGGCATGCCTCCGAAGCCTCTACACCTCCCCTTATACATACTTATCTATCTCTCTTTCTCTCTCTCTCCCTCGCTCTCTCTCCCTGTAAGCACTGTAATACTCTTGGAGAATACTCTCCCCAGCGATTTCACCCATTAATAAAAGACTCAGACCACCGCTGCCGTTTACGAAAGTAGAGTAGTCACCCAGACCAAACCACTATAAATCCCTGTGTTAGCTCTTTATCTACTACTTTACCATTAATTGTCTATTTATTGCTCATTGATTGCCTCTGTTTATATTCTTGACTGTTGATCTTGCGCAATACTAATTTGTGTATCATTAGTTTGGCGTCGTTTGTGAGAAACGACTAGTTTTTCTACTCTCTCTTTCAATCCATGACAATCACTACCCGATCAATGAGCCAACAGCTGGGAGACAATAACCTGGCTCACCGAGAGGACGCTCTGCCTCCCCTCGTACCGTCTGAACCATCTACTACTGCGACTCCCGCCGGGCAACAACAATAGCTCCTCCAAACCATGCAGTTGTTGGTGAGCCAAAACCAGCAGATCATCCAACTCATGCTTGCCCAAGGGGGCATCACCCTTTACCCTGTGGGAGGAGCTCCACTCCCTCCAACAAGAGAACAGCAACGACCTGTCCTTTTTGAGCGCCAAGCAGCCCCCCATCATAGGGCCCGTCGCCAGAATACTCCAAGGCCGCGTCAGGGCGCCTCTCGCCCAGCAGTCCCTCCTCAACACACAGGGAATTCACGAGTTCCCCCTCCTCATAAACTAGTACAGGAGAACGAAGACGGAGGAAGTCAGTATGGAGACCATGAAAGCTAGGACCATCATCCGACTGCGAATGTCCCTAATCACTAGGACGAGAAGATTAGGGAGGTGCAAACCAACTTGGTGATGCTCTCAATGCCATCAAGGCATAGGCGCCCGAAACCGTAGACTACTTGGTAAGACGCACTGATACGCCTTTTATTGCTGATATTACCAATTACCCTCTGCCTTCGAAATTCAAGATGTCCACCATCAAAATCTTTGATAGCACCAAAGACCCCTCGACCATCTTGACACATATAAGTCCCTCATGTAACTCCACAACGTGCTTGAGAAGATTATGTGTAGAGCCTTCCCTACCATCTTGAAGGGGGTCTGCACGTCAGTAGTTCTCCAAGATCAGACCCTCCTCCATCTGTTCTTTTGCAAAACTCAATAGGTCCTTCGTCTCCTACTTCATTGGTGGGCGCTGACATCAAAAACTAGTGACCCACTTACTCACAATTAAACAGGACAGAGATGAGAGCCTTAGAGACTACCTTACCCGTTTCAATGAAGAGGTGCTCCAGATCGAGGAGCCGGATGATAAGGTAGCCTTGGTTGCCTTTATCGCTGGTCTTCGCACCTCCAGTTTCTTATTCTCCGTACATAAGAAGCCGCCCTTCAACATGCCCGAGCTACTGTCTAGGGCACAGAAATACATGAACGTCGAGGATGTCACCAAGGCCACATGAGGTGAGTCCTCCCATGGGGGCGAGAAAAGGAAGGACGCCCGTGAAGACAGGTGGAAGACGAAGAACAAGAGCAAGAGAATCGAAAGAGTCTCTATCAAGGACCGTCTTGGTCCGTACCCCTCGAGAGAATGACAGCTTTTCACGCCACTTAATGCCTCGGTGGAGCACATCCTATTCCAGATATAGAATGACCCCACGCTCCGCTAGCCCAAAAATGAAGTCTGCAGAAATTACAGCAGGTACTGTCGCTTCCACCGCAACCATGGCCACGACACTTATGACTGCTATAAGCTCAAGAGATAGACCGAGGAGCTCATACAGCGTGGCCAGTTGAGGCAGTACGTTGCTGACAGAGGACAAGCCCCGTGCACGTGGCCAGGACCAGGATGATAGAGAACGCCAGCAACCCCTCGAAAAAATTCAGACGATCTCCCGAGGGCCAAGAAAAGGATACGACTCCAACTCCGCCAGGGAAACATTGGCCCACTTATGGGACATCGAACGCCTGAAGATTTCATCTATGTTTCGTCATTTCAGTTTATTTATTTTGTTATTCATTATTTTATGAAATAAAATTTTATGAAGATTATTATGTTCATAACTGTCTTGCTTTCATTTCAAACAGCTTATGACCTAACAAAGAGGTAGACAAAACGACAAAAGGCGCCCAACCTCAGGCTCCCAACACCAGGAGCCTAGCACCAAACGCCTATCACCAGGCGCCAAGACGAGGGGTCTCGCCCTCTCCACCTTGGGCGGCCCTATGATGCTATTAGACGAGCTCTCCACCTTGGGACCCTCCTATGATGTCTAGACGATAAGTCTCGCCCTCTCTCATCAGGCGTCCAACACCTTAGACGCCCAGCTCCTCAATGCCCTCCTTATCTCCATAGAATAAGCCTCTGCCCTAGTAACTATCTCAAGTGCTACTTGAAGGTCAGCGTTTAGATGGGCAGCCCTCTCGTGCGCTAGCCTCAATTGCTCAACGGCATTCTCTCGTGCCTGCTGCTCAAACTCTACTTGCTCCGCAGCATCCTCTTGTGTCTACTGCCTGAGCCCTACTGCTCCGTGGCATCCTATCTTGCCTACCACCCAAACCATACTTGTTGCGCAGCATCCTTTCGTGCCTACCGCCTGAGCCCTACTTGAAAGAAGTTTATAGAAAATCCATCAGTCCCTGGGGCACTTTCCATCGACATAGAAAACACCACCTCTTTCAATTCACTCATAGTAACTGCCTCAATCAACCTCTCATTATCTTCCGAACTCACCTTATCAGGAATCACTTCAAATAACTCCTCCAAAATATCATGAGGCTCAGATTTATATAATGAAGAAAAGAAAGAAACAGTCTGCTCAACAATTTCCTCTTCAGAACAACACCATTCTCCATTTTCTAATTTTATTCTTCTTATTCTATTTCTATAGACTTACCTTTGGTAATAGAATAATAAAACTTTGTATTTCTTTCCCCCTCTAAAGCCCACTTTAGATTTGCTTTTTGTTTCTAGAAAATCTCTTCCAATCTCATTGTATTTTCCAAATTCCTTCTAGCACCTTCCAATCTTTCAAAATTCGCCTTTGTGCTGTTAGATTCAATCTTCCTCTCCGCAATACACAAATCAAGCTCTTGCTTCTTAATCTTCTCAAAAATGTCACCAAACACTTCCCTGTTCCACCTCTTTATATGATACTTTAAAAACTTCATTTTTAGGAAAAAATCCTCAATAGGATTATCTGAATAATTTCCATTCCAATTGTTTGAAACCAGAGGCAAAAAAGACTTGTCCTTAACCCACATATCCAAGAACCTGAAATATGAAACTCTCTGTTGATTTGAATTTTCCATGACTTTAATCAACAATGGACAGTGATCAGAACTCCCTCTTGCTAAATGAACAACATTAGAACTATCAAATTTAGCATCCCAATCAGAATTAATAAAAACTCTGTCTAGACGTTGCCACATTCTAGTACTCCCATCATGACCATTACACCAAGTATAGTTACTACCCTCAAATCCACAATCCATTAAACCCTCTGACTGAATACAAGCTCCAAACTCCTCTATTGTCGTCATAGATGGATAAGAGCTTCCCAATCTCTCTGATGAATTTAAAATAGCATTGAAATCTCCCATGACTAACCAAGGCAAAGAAAAAGAATAGGAGACTTCTTGCAAATGTAACCACATAGGCCTTCTCAACACATAATCACAACATGCATACACTACTGTTATAAAAAAAAATCAGAACCTAAACAGGACACAACCACAGATATGGCCTGTTCATGCTCCTTAACCACCTTCACATCCAGATCCCCATTCCACAACAACCACACATTTTTCTCAGCCACAGGATTTTCCACAAAAAATCTTAATCCTACAGACGAAGCAAAAGACTGCAATTTCGTAGAACTCATCTTTGGTTCCAGCACAGCCAAAAAACAAATTCTATTCATAACTATAAGCTTCTTTAATTTGATTCTTAAAACCTCTTTCCTAGCCCCTCTCACATTCCAAACCATGAAATTCATAATGAAGAGATAGGAGAAGAAATTCCTCCAAGACCAAGCTTGGTATTACCCGTAGAAGGCACATAATCTTCATCTGCATCCTCACTATCCTCTACTCTATCAGCCCAAGACTTGGAACTTTCCTGATCAAACAAAAATCCTTTATCCGGAGGCTCCTTGTACTTTACCAAATCCAAATTATCATTCAATGGGCAATTTTCTAATCTCTTTACATCATACTGTCTATCCACAAAAAAAGAAATTGAACGAGAAGAAGAAAACTCTTTATTCAGTAAACGGACAGACTCCGAATTTGATTTATCTCCCAATTCCATTTCATTCTCCATGTTATCCTTCTCCACCTCCTGAACAGAAGACAACAATAATTGTTGAACATCTTCTCCATTTTCCGCATCCACTCTATCTACTATTTGAATATCTTCCTCATCCAGATTTTCAAGCTCATTCACAACCTTTTTCAACTTATTAATTGAAAAATCAACAATACCTTCCTCCACCTTTTGACTATTCACATCAGGGGTCACCTCCACACCCTCCACAATGTTTAATGTGGGACTTGTCTCTAGCCCCTCTTCCAGAATCATCTCCATTAAAGGTCCCCTACGAAATTACTTGAGGAAATTGAGAGATTAGATGATCCTAAGCCATAGGAACAGACGAAATCGAAGAAGACAAGTGAGTCGAAGAGACTGGAGGAACCGATGAAATTTGGGGATTTTGAGAGGTATGAGAAATCGATGAAATTTTCAGTACTTGAATAACCAGAGAATTGTGAGAGTTAGGAGGCATACAACAAGATTCGAACCCTGGTTGATTCACAATCGATATAATATTGTCATTACCAAGACTCATGACAACATTATTTAATGGAATCAAGAATTGTGAAGAATTCTTGAATAACAAAGCAAAGTTTTTCTTAATATCCGGAGGTTTTGGAGGAACTAAACGCTGGGATTGATTAGAATTCATGAGGAAACAATAGATTTGAAAACAAATTGGCAATCAAACTGGGAAATTTTAGCAAGAAATCAAAAGAAAAATCAATATTTTCAATGACAAAGGTAGAGAGAATGTGGAGCTTCTTTCTCTAGAATCATGACCGCCTCCCCCTGACACTTGTTATATTAAACCAAAAATCATTAGTTTTGTGGGTGTTGAATAGTGAAAATGGAGTTGAATAGTGAAAATAGGTGTTGAATAGTGAGGATGGTGTTATGGGTGTTGAATAGTAAAAAAGAGAGTTAGACGTGTCCCCAAATCAAGAAGGAATCAAATGGAAAGGAAGCATCCAAGAAGGCGCCGCCCAAAGCATTAGGGGGCGTCGCCCAAGTCATCCCTAAGGCACCGCCCAAGACTGACCCTCCTAGTTCTTCCTTCACTCCCTTCTCGTGGCCACTTCAACTCAAGTGCAGCTCACTTCAATGTCAGCCCAGACTCAGGGTCAAGCCCAATTTGACTCAGGATCATCCTCCGATGGAATAGGAACACGAGAAAATAATATCGAGATACGGAGATCAAATCCTACTAAGATTGTACTTACCAAAATAATGGAAGACCTCTCACTTACGTCACCACCTTACCCCAACTATATAATGAATGTCCTCTCAGTATTGAGGGCACGCCTCTGAAACCTCTACACCTCCCCTTATATGCACTCATCTCTCCTCTCTCTCTCTCTCTCCCTGTAAGCATTGTAATACTCCTGGCGAATACTCTCTCCGGCGATTTCACCCATTAATAAAAGACTCAGGCCACCGTTGCCGTTTACGAGAGTGGAGTAGGTCACCTGGACCAAACCACTATAAATCCATGTGTTAGCTCTTTATCTACTGCTTTACCATTAATTGTCTGTTGCTCATTGATTACCTATGTTAATCTTCTTGACTGTTGATCTTGAACAATACTGATTTGTGCATCATCAATATTGATACACTTTAATTTCATAAATCTTTTAAACTGTATCAATTTAGTGTATCAAAAGTAATAGAAAATAGGCTTTATATATATATATATATATATTAAAACAGGAGTGTATTTAAATTTTGTCTCAGTCATATTTTTTTCCTCAAAACCATCATCAATCACTTACCTCACTCATCATCCTTTTATCAGATTCAAACGTCAAATCGCATCACTTATTTCTATCATATGTTTAATCATTTATATATTTCTCCCCTAAAAGCATCACATCACTCATTTTTATCATATATTTAACCATTTAATATTTGATTAATTTGTTGTCAATATATTTTGAAAAAAAATTAATATAATGGAATCGATTTTTTCGACACTCGAATTTTATATTTTATCGTGCTTCCAGGCACATGTTATGTCTAGTATATAAATATAGAAGTTGAAGAGGTGTGGGAGACAAATACATTGGATAATGTAGAGATAATTATATGTGTGGTTAGTTTTCAAAATTGTTTTTAGGAAACTTATTTATAATAAAAAAGTATTCAAGTCTTTCTATGTCTTAAGTAGATTTTTTTACAAAACATTTTTTTCTATATACTTTTTGATAATTAAGTCTAATTTTGTATACTGACTTCTAAATGACCCTTATTAAAATTAAATTTTTTATTAGATTTGAATTTTTTGGGGCCTTTTGGCAGAGCTTAAAATTTTCATAGATTTAAGAGTTTCTTGGAGGCCGGTACCTAGGTTCAATAGGATTCAAAAAAAAAAAAAAATCCATGTGCCAATTTTCTTTTGGATTAAGCCTCTATTGAAAAATCAAAATAAGAGATATAATTTGCACCCTTCAAAATTATAAAAAATAACGACAATACCATCAAATAATTGAGACACATATTTTAAAAAGTTTTGTCATCGTAATGAACTTGATTCTCCATAGACACGGATTGTCAACATGTACATTAAAAAATATGACCAATTTTTGAATAATGTACCCATTAATTGGTGGTTCACAGATACATTAAAATACATTTACTAATGATGGTTGAATTCAATATATCTTTACAATAGATACAATAAAATGAGACGTCTGGACAAACATCTTTTCGATTAACAACTCAATTAACACCATAATGAACATACATTTAAACCGCTTCATCTACCCCATGGAAAAACCTCTATAAAAGCATATCAAAAAACAAACAAAAATCACCCCAAAAAAAAAAATGGACGTGTCAAGAGAGCAAAGAACACAAAGTAGCATTCAAATGCTTACAGGTTTCCTAGATGAATCCCACGGCAAGGAAAATCGGCTGAAGAAAGATATCGAACGTTTAGATTCAAAATTGTGCCTTTCCAACAAATGGCAAAATAGGTGGAGGCAATGACAAAAAATTCCAACAAAAACTGTAGAAGGAGAGAAAAATGACCAAAAAGCTTGAGGCAGAGTTGTAAGACCTCAAAAAATGACTTTCTTTTATGTTTTTTTTAAAATGTAAAAAAAATGATCCACATACGTAATCTCACTTTCTAAATAAAATATTAATGAAATATAATATTTAATTTTTAATGTACAAGCACCCTTTCATAAGTTAATTTTGTGCATCTCTAAAAATACGTGTAAAGATATGAGTTGATTGTGTACCCGTATAGTTATATAGACATGATACATTCATCAGGGGCGGTGTTTAAAACCCGTTTGAAATTCAAAATACGTGCAGAAATGAAGGTATTTCCATCCAAAATCATAATCCATTAACATTCGAAAACGAAAACCCTTTCAAACATTGGGTACATTCTCAAAACCCTTAAGACGTTAGGTACCTTTTCAAACCCTTAAGACGTTGGATACCTTCTCAAAACCCTTAACACGTTGCATACCTTCTCAAAACCCTTCAAACGTTGGATACCTTCACAAATGACCTTCAGACATTAGGTACCATTACAAACCCAACCACACTTACAAGTACATTCTCAGAACCCAATCGCATATAGATACATCGTGAAGGTACTTATTCATTACAAACAATCTATTATGTATTCTATTCGAGTTTTTGGGAAGTAAAATTAGGGTTTCATCAATAAAATTAAAATATGTACGTGTTGTTATGCGAATGTACTTGTAAGTTATTTCCCCTTCATTTTGATCAATGTTTACTTGCATGTACCTGTAGCATAAATTTATTGTACCTATGCTATGTCCATGAACGACAAAGAGTATTATAATACTTGGTTGCAGTAAAATATGGTTTTAATACCCCCAACTTCATTATTTTGATTTTTTTTTTTGTCATTAATTTGTTATGATTTTGTTTGAGAATTATCTATACCTGTCAGATATTGTATTTATATACTCTAAAACATTTTGTAAATTACACAGATTAAACAATGTCGCAAAAAAGAGCACCTAAGAAGTCTTCGACTGAACAGTTCAGGTCCAATTTGCTTGCTTTCATCAGTGTGATGAAAGAGATCTAGCCTCTGATAAATGCAAAACATTTGGAGTTAATGATACTAAAATGGACTGGTATCCGAAATTTTTTACAAGAAGTCTGATCATGATATCACCCATATAATTCAACAATTCAATCCTCAAAATCAAAAACAAAAATTTGGAAAGAATCCAACAGACTTTAAGGCATCCCATATTGTTGATATTTTCGGACTGCCGGACTAAGGTCAAGAAATAAATCTAAATTAGAGGGAAAAAATAAAAAATGCTTTCACAAAAAAATATTTTATAAACGCACAGAGAATCATGAAAAAAAAGTTGAAAATGGTATAAAGAAGGCAGTCCAAGGAAATCAAACAAGATATCAACAGGGGTTGGTGGCACTATACTTCTGCACCTCACTACTCTTCTGCAACACAGGAAACTCAATTGGCTGGTTCTTTATCGACTACTTAGAGGACTTGGAAAAAATGCCAAGTTATGCATGGACATCAGCAGTTCATAAAATGCTAGTGGGATCAATGACTGAGGACTTGAGCAAGCCTGGTACAGTTATAGGGTGTATGATTGCTCTTCCGGTAAGATCAATAACTGAAATCCTCTTTCTGCATTCTGAATATTACTCCACTCTAAATGTGTTAATTTGGTTTTCTTTTCAAATCTGGTTAACCATATTGGCCCCAATAAAAGGCAAAGAAAATATCAATCTAAAATTTCTCATATGGAATCTACCTCTGCTGAACAAACAATTGGCGATAACAAACATACAGACACTCCAACTTAGGATTGATCCAAAATAGACTATAAAAGACTGCCAACGTCCAGCTGTTACACAATGCCACACCCCCCCCCCCCCAACAAGAAAGAAAAAAGATTAGCCACCATCAATCAAAAATAGATGATGAATTGGAGTGAAATATGAGAACAACAAATGAACATGATAGTCTCATGCAAGCAATTGAGGTGGACAATATGTTCTTGTGCGACGTGGAGGTATACTACACGACTCACTAAGTTTGCATCTGATACAATATGACACATATACAAGCACTAAAACTCATTAATTCCATATTTGTCCGATAGGTCACATGCGAAAGAGTTACACAACAACCAGCTGAAACCTATCATGAACCACAATCCACCGAAGAAGAAAAAACTCTGGTTTGACATAACAAAAAAGAAAAGATGCATGCAAATAATCTCCTCCCCAAAAATGAAGAT